TGGGTAAGGGTTAGGGTTATTGTTAGGGAATAGGGTCTCCGTACCCCCTACCTGTTTTATTTCCTCATAAACTTATTAATCGCACGAAGGCGCCCCCCCCCCCCCCGTGTCCTGGCTTCATGAAGTAATCCTAAGGGGGGAGGAACACGTTGTACTGGCCGGAACCCCTCTCCTCCCTCTGGAAGTCCCTCCTCCTTGCAGGGGTGGCCTTGTACGTCACCCCCAAAACGGAAGGGGGCCCCTTAAAAAAATCCTTTACCCAGTTTGAAAGGGGGGAAAGGGGGACCACCCCCAAAAACGGGCCGTTGTTTCCCTTTACCTGTTTGTTACCCCCCGTTTATTGTGTTGGGAGAAAAAAGAAAATGGCGCGCACGTGGATGCGGGGTAAATTTACGAATAACGCTGGACAGGACAATCGTACCAGTGGCGTGGGGGGTGAGGGGTGATGTTCGACAAAGGCACAAGCAATGTGTTTGCTCCGGCCCGGCATACTTGACTAAATCTGGGCAAAATGGCCTGATGTGTGGTACTAAATAATTAGCTTTTAATAACATGCAAATAATCTATTTCTCCTATCGATAGTCCGTTGTTTCTAAAAAATCTGACCGACTTTGCTGAACAAAAAGAAGCCAACACTTGGGCAACGAGGAGGAGAATGCCAATCGCAGACGCCTTCCTCTCTCACAACCCCCGCCCCTGCCCTCCCCGGCAAACAACAAAAATCGAGACCAGCAGCGAAGAATAGAGGTTTCACCAACTTAACCTTGGCTAAGTAGGCAAGATCATTCTGCGTAGGCAGGCGATGTCCAGTCCAGTTTCTTTCTAAACACGGACGAACAACGAAAAATCAACTGGCAAATGAGGTACGGCAACGAGACCATTCAAACTTGGCACAACAATTAACAACAGCAGCAGTGACTCTTTCTACCGGCAATCTAAGTCTGTACCTCCATGAGGTAGGAAAGGAGCGCGATGGTCTGGATCGTCTTGCCCAGGCCCATCTCATCAGCCAGGATGCCGTTGAGGTTGTTGTTGTACAAAGACACCTGCAGGGGAAAAAAAAAAAGGACAACAAAAACCAAAGAAGTTGAGATTGGGATAAGAGGCGCAGCAAGGAGTCTATCAAGCACAACAAACAGAACTTGTTCTTGACGCAATAAACTCCACTAGCAGCAGAGCAGCAGCAGTCTATCTAGCGCAGAAAACAGAATTTGTTGTAAAAAAAAAAAGAAGTTGATGTTGGGATAAAGAGACACAGCAGTTGTCTAGCACAAAAACAGGAGGTTGTTCTTGACGCAATCGAGACTCCACTAACGGTTGTTCTCGCACCATCCATTGGAGGCCCTGCAGCTGGTACTCCTTGAGCGTGCCCCCCTTCAGGGACGACGGCTGCCGCACCGCCTCGCTCTTGCTGTGCGCCTTCCGGAAGTAGTCGTTCCCGCCGCTGCCGCCGCCGGCGGCATTGGCCCCTGCCGCCGCCGAGGCATCCCCATCTCCTTTCCCTTCTCCTTCTTCGCCTTCTTTTGCCGCCGACAACCAGAGTGTTGGGTGTGCGTTCACGGCGCGGCGACAGACAAACAGGCACAAACACGAGCGTGGGCAGTAAGGCTGCTTGACGGATAAGGGCCGTACATACGCGTGAAGCTACGTACGCGTTGAGTTTAGTAAGTTGGAGTAAGCGGCACAAGTGCCGTGAGCGCTGACTTGAAGTGAAGAACAAAAAAAATAAAAATAAAACATGGTTGGGGGGGGGGCATGTGTGCGTTCGCAAATGTGGCAGACAAACAGGCACACAAGCGTGGACATTCATGACCGCTGGGCGGACAAGGCATGTACGTGCATACACACGTGCGAAGAAAGGGCCGCAAAAAAACTCTCCTCTGAGACAGGCGGGCCCCCGCTACATATGCCACGACAAAGACAAAAAACGCACGCTTATGGAGACCACACCAGATACGATTGTCAGACGTGGGTGGCGGCAACAGCCGGCGGCGGCAGCAGCAGCGGCAGCAAAATGACAGCAACAACGACAGCGACAAAGCCCAATGACACAAAACCAAAAAAATCCGATCGCCAATACACCAACACCACCGGAAACCGACCCCAGTGGACCAAAACCACCTCAACAATTACAACGACGAACCTGCGGCCTTTTCGGCTCCCGCCTCCTCTGACTCTGCCGACTTGCCGCCGCCACCATCAGGCGCAGCCGCTGCCCCTTCCTTGTCACTTTCGAGACGAGTCAGTCAAAAACAAGTGGGAGCGGGGGGGTCGCATGCTTGAAAATGGTACCGGTGTCAAGTTGAAGATGCCCAAGGAAGGCTGTGCGCATTTGATCATGATGAACGCAATTTCTGGGAGTTGTCTTCCAAGTTGGACAAAACAACGACATCAACACCAACATCGACACCACGACAACAACAACAACAGCACCAACAACATCATCACCAACAACGACAACAACAACGACAGCAACAACAGCAACGACAACAACGACAACAACAGCACCAACCTTCCGTCATTCGCCACGGTAGCAGCACCAGCACTAGCAGCACCAGCAGCTGAAGCACCAGCGGCAGCGGCACCAGTAGAGCCCTCGCCGCTCTCCTCTTGCTCCCTCCTGGCCTCCCCCTCTTCCCTCTGCTCCTGGATCTTGTGGCCGATCTCGCGGATGTACTGGTCCGTCTGCCCCAACAGGTACCTATTCCGCCGCCCGCCCGAAAATAAATAAATAAATAATAAAAGCGTCTTGTGTTTAGTGCCAGCTGCTATCACTGGTATAAATCATTAGTGTTTACGCTTAAAACATACTCAGAAATAAGCCCAGTGCCCAGCCGGTTTCCCTCCACTCACTGCTGTAACGGCTTCAACACATACCCTTTGACTGTGGTATCATCTCGAATGGGTAGTCTTTCTGTGGTTGTAACTATTTTTCCTAAAACGAAAATCGTTTTTTTGGGGGGGGGTGGGATTGATCTTCATATCAGTCAGTTTTCAGCATGTGTACACTCTGCCGCCCTTCATGCAAACAACCACGAGCACCAGAGGCACCAAGCAGTAAACACGACCCCGCATTGTTTGTTTGTTGGACCGGCGCCACGGAACACGGAGACAGACTTGGACGCACCACGTCACACGACGAAGGTACTATGATAGTAACCCCCCCAACAATCCCAGATCCCTCACAACAAGGACGATGCACTGACACCCGAAGGCGTGAACACCGTCTCTCCTGCAGAACCCCCCCTCTGGACGATAAGGACATATTCTAGACGCAGCCCTCGGGGCAGGCTTTGCGGTCATGTGTGTCGGCCGGGGAAATCTCGGCTCAAGGATTGCTGTGGACACCATACAAGTGCCATGCTAAATAGGAACAAGCACGAACGAGCGCATTTCGTCGCTCCTCGTTCCCCCATCCTCAGCCTCTTATGCTCTGCCGCCGGACATCCCTAGGGCTGTACTGTACAGCCGTGAGCAAACTCCGTCAATCACGCGTGCGTTCACAACGCAACAAGAACGATGAGGTCCTGACCAAACTTACTCGTTCACGTGCCCGTTCACAACTTCCCCCCCCCCCCCGGAGAGTCCCCCTCTCCCCCGGTGTTTGCCATCGGGGTTGGGTTTTCGTCGCTTGGCAACGACGTTGTAAAACAAGCCGCCCCCCCCGGTGTTTGCCATCGGGGTTTGGGTTTTCGTCGCTTGGCAACGACGTTGTAAAACAAGCCCCCCACTCGGTGTTTGCCATCGGGATTGGGTTTTCGTCGCTTGGCAACGACGTTGTAAAACAAGCCAATTCACTTCGTGAACTCGGCAACCAGGTTACCGGTTTTTTTTTACCTCGTTTTTTTTTTGGCGGTAACCATAATGGTGGTCGAGTAGATCATGTTGTGCGGGGTCGAGAAACCTCACTCCGCGCAACGGGGGATGATCGCACCTCGTTGGGTTAAAATGGTCAAGCTTCCTCGAGGCAGTTACACAGTGCTTACAACTGTCTCTGGAAGTGAAAGCACCAGAAAATAAATTAAGTCATACGTAGCTTTCATCCGTACGCAAGGAAGTAAGCACAAGATGCCGAACACCCTTAGCAGGATGGCAGCTCACCCTTCATGCGACTCGCCAAATACCTCACGGCGCTTCGCGCTTGGTGATGTGAGAGCCTGGTCCGGTGAAAACCCGGCGTGCTCCGTCCCGGCTTTGTAGGGATGCGAGGTCAATGGCGAAACGACTACGGCATGCACGACTATGAGTACCCCCCCCCCCCCCA